ACAGACAACCTCTCGTCAATATGCGTTTTCTGCATTGCATAGCTGCAAAAAACGCATAAAAAACCAGGCTGCGACGCAATAGGTTTACTTGTGACATCATATGAACTTACAGGTCGCTAAATGCATGAATGATTCTTGCGCTGTATCATGACACTTCAACTCATTTTGGTTGTGTTTTGGCTTTTTCCTGCACGAAGGGCGAAAGGGCGTCAGTTAGGACGAAAGTGTTGCATTATGGGGTCGCGTCAACCCCACCGTGAATAATTACTAGTTATGCGTTTTTGCCTTGCAGCGCTAGAGCGCTGCGACAGGCAGCAAAAACGCACATTGCAACGACCCTGTCAGTGTGTGTGTGTGTGTATGTTTGTGTGTGTGTGTTCAGGTATTTCAACTCGCTAACCGCGCAAGCTTTGAAGCTGAAATTTTGCCAGTGTGTTCCCCAGCCAGGTACCACTCCAGGACCGCAGTTTCAACCCTCACGCACGTCTGGGCCCCGCGTGCGAGCACGTGAAAGTTTTGGCGCGAAAATCGCTAACTCGGGAACGAGAAAAGCTAGAAAGTTATTTCAACCCTCACGCACGTCTGGGCCCCGCGTACGAGCACGTGAAAGTTTTGGCGCGAAAATCGCTGACAGCTTTGAAGCTGAAATTTTACCAGTGTGTTCCCCAGCCAGGTACCACCCCAGGACCGCAGTTTCAACATTTGAAGCTGAAATTTTGCCAGTGCGTTCCCCAGCCAGGTACCACCCCAGGACCGCAGTTTCAACCCCCACGCACGTCTGGGCCCCGCGTACGAGCACGTGAAAGTTTTGGCGCGAAAACTGCTAACTCGGGAATTTGAAGCTGAAATTTTGCCAGTGTGTTCCCCAGTGTGTGTGTGTTCGTCTGTCCGGGTATTCCAACTCGCTAACCGCGCAAGCTTTGAAGCTGAAATTTTGCCAGTGTGTTCCCCAGCCAGGTACCACTCCAGGACCGCAGTTTCAACCCTCACGCACGTCTGGGCCCCGCGTGCGAGCACGTGAAAGTTTTGGCGCGAAAATCGCTAACTCGGGAACGAGAAAAGCTAGAAAGTTATTTCAACCCTCACGCACGTCTGGGCCCCGCGTACGAGCACGTGAAAGTTTTGGCGCGAAAATCGCTGACAGCTTTGAAGCTGAAATTTTACCAGTGTGTTCCCCAGCCAGGTACCACCCCAGGACCGCAGTTTCAACACTCACGCACGTCTGGGCCCCGCGTACGAGCACGTGAAAGTTTTGGCGCGAAAATCGCTAACTCGAGTACGAGAAAAGCTAGGAAGCTGAAAACTTGGGAAAATGTTCCCCACCAGAATACGACAAAAAGATTTCAAATTCAGCTGCCCAGGACTGCCCAGGGCCCACGTACGGGCGCGTGAAAATTATGGCTGGAAAATTCATAACTCGCGAATGAAAAAAGCTAGAAAGTTGAAACTTTGGGGGAATATTCCCCTCCCATATACGATTAAAACTTTCAAATTCAGCTGCTCAGGATTGCCCGGGGCTCACGTACGGGCACGTGGAATTTTTGGCGCGAAAGTCACTAACTCGGAACGGGAAAAGCTAGAAAGCTGGAAGTTTAGGGGAATGTACCCTACTCATGTACGAGCAAAATCAGGTGTTTAGAGGCATCCGGGAGTCACGTACAGGCACGTGGGAATTTGACGCGAAAATCACTAACCCGGGGACGGGAAAAGCTAGGAAGCTGAAACTTTAAGGAAATGTTCCCCACTCATGTACGAGCAAAATCAGGTGTTTAGAGGCGCCCGAGCCCATGTATGGGCATGTGAAAATTTTGGCGCGAAAATCACTAACTCGAGAACGGGGAAAGCTAGAAAGCTGAAACTTTAGAGTAATGCTCCCTACTCACGTATGACCAAAATATTTTAAATTCAGCTCCTTAAAACCGTCCAGTACTCATGTACGGACATGTGAAAATTTTGATGGGGAAGCTGCTAACTCAGAAACGAGAAAAGTTGAAGGCTTTAATTTTAAGGGAATGTTTCCTGCTCCTGTGCAACTAAAAGACATCAAATTTAACTCTTCTGGTGTGACTTTTTTGGCGGACCAGCACCTTTCCATTTGCCGGGTCACTGAAGCCGAATCTACAACTGACATGCCACATAGCTGCACAATTAACTTCCCGAACTTCGAGGGCCAGTATTTCACAGAGTTAGCTACATTGATTCCTTGCGATCTTGCTACGGTACGAAAAGTGCAAAAACGCATAATCGCACCGGCTCGCCTGGTGCGTTCCAGCGTGGG